TTTTAGGAATACATACGGTGTGAGGGATTTAATCCCGGCCGTTGGATCGATTAAAATCAACGGCTAGGATCAAGGAACTAATAAGACAGTGTTGTTTGGTTTAGTGTTGGGGTCGGGCTGACCGGGTAATGGGTCGGGTACAGGGGACGGGTATGAAAGATGTGATCTTGGTCGTTGATCCATTTGAGATCAACGGCCCCGCTCAACTGTGACAATAACGGTGCCGTTCGGGCACCTCTGAGGAGACGGACCGGTTTACGCCTTGGGCCAGCTCGTTTGGGCCTGCTTTCATTCTAATGTTTTGGCCCAAACTGAGTTTTCTTAATTTTTTCCCAACTCTCTTTCTTTTTCTACTTTTAATTAACAATCAATAAAATTCTAAAAATAATTTGTAAAACCAAAATTAGCCTACAAAAATGTCAATTAAACCTTATCAACAATTAACGCACAAGGTCAAACATTTTTAAAATAAAATAAAATTACACAACAGCACACATAAATGACAAAATGCAACAAATACATATTTTTTGTGATTTTCTTTCTTTTAAAATAAAACATGGTTTAATTAATTCCAAGATTCACAATTAAATCTTTAATGTGCATGCAACATGTGTTTTCGTTTTTTTTTAATTAATCACAACAAGGGTAAATATTTACGGACAAAATAATTACCAAAATGTCACGCAAATTCTCAAAATGTACACAAAGAAAAATTATTTTATTTTGGATTTTTGGGAGTGATTCTTATATAGGGCAAAAATCACATGCTCACACACATCAACTCAAATGGCTGCTCCCAGTCTAGAGCAATTATGATAGGTGCAGTCACCAACCTTCCTTTCAGCTCTTCGAATGCCTTCAGACAGGCATCATCGAATTTGAAGACTACATCCCTCTCAAGAAACCTGCACAAGGGAGAGGAAATTTCGAGAAATCTTTAATAAAACGACGATAAAAACTTGCATGGCCCAAGAAACTGCAGATGTCTTTGACAGATATCGGTGGAGGCAATTTTTGAATCGCTTCCACCTTTGCCTTGTCCACCTGCAAACCGTCTTTGGACACCTTGTGCCCTAAAACTATACCTTCATGTACCATGAAATGACACTTTTCCCAGTTTAGCACCAAGTTAATCTCTTCACACCTAGCAAGTACTTTATCGAGGTTCATTAAGCAGTTATCAAAAGAACATCCGAAAACAGAAAAGTCATCCATGAATACTTCCACAAACCTCTCAACCATGTCAGTAAAGATGGACATCATACACCTTTGAAAAGTCGCAGGTGCATTACAAAGACCAAAGGGCATTCTCTTGAACGTATACGTGCCATAATGACACGTAAAAGTGGTCTTTTCTTGGTCCTCTGGGGATATAGCAATCTAATTATACCCCGAGTAACCATCCAGGTAGCAGTAGTACTCCTGGCCAGCTAATCTATCGAGTATTTGGTCAATAAAGGGGAGGGGAAAGTGGTCATTCCGGGTGGCATTGTTCAATTTTCTATAGTCAATGCAAATTCTCCACCCGGTGACAGTTCTTGTTGGGATTAGATCATTATTTTCATTAACTACCACAGTCATCCCCCTTTCTTGGGTAGACATTGGACTGGGCTTACCCATTTGTTGTCTGAGATAGGAAATACAATACATGCATCAAGCTACTTAATCACTTCTTTTCTTACCACCTCTTTCATGATAGGATTGAGGCGGCGTTGTTGCTCAACACTGGGCTTATGTCCATCCTCCATGAGGATTTTGTGCATGCAAAAGGCTGGACTAATGCCCTTAATGTTAGACATCGTCCACCCCAGTGCGCACTTGTGCTCCCGTAGCACTCTTAACAGCTTTTCTTCCTGCAATTTAGACAAGTTAGAAGAAACAATAACAGATAGGGTGTCAGAGTCACCCAAATAAGCATATTGCATGTGAGATGGGAGAGGTTTAAGCTCCAATTTTGGGGTTTTCTCAATTGACGGCTTTGGAGGAGATCCCTCTGGCATGTTCAAGGGTTCAAAGGGGTGTATCCCCTGCATGTATGCACAAGATGTGTCAAGGATGTGCATCATCTCCTCGACCTCCTCATCATTGCCCAGGCTATCAAACAACATAAGTACTTTCTCTAGAGAATCGTCTAGAAAAACACTTGGATCATAAATTTTCTCATCAGCCTCTACAACCGATATCATGGAGAGCTCCTCATAGTGACGGGGAAGTTGGATTGCTTTTTAGACATTGAAAATCGCTTCCTCATCTTCTACCCTCAAGATCATCTTTCCCTCTCTCACCTTGATAATTGTGTCACCAGTAGCCAAGAGAGGTAGCCCCAATATGATTGGGACAAGTTCATCAGCCTCATTATCAAGGATAATGAAGTCAGCAGGGAAGATAAATTCCCCAATCTGCAATAACACATCTTCAATCACCCCCTCAGGGTGTGCTATTGACCTGTCAGCCAGCTGCAACATCACAGTAGTTGGCCTTGGAGCTCCCAGACCCAATTGTTTGAACCAAGACAGGGGCATCAGATTTATGCTTGCCCCCAAATCGCAAAGAGCACGACCCACTTCAACATTTCTAATACGTATAGGAATCCTAAAGCTGCCAGGATCCTTAAGCTTTTGAGGAAGCTTATTTTGGACCCTAGAAGTGCACTCCTCAGTAAGTGCAACTGTCTCAAACTCAGTCAATCTCCTCTTATGAACCACTATGTCTTTTATGTACTTAGCATATTATGGAATTTCGCGAAGCACATCAACCAGTGGAATATTCAATTGAACCTGGCTCAACATGGAGAGGATTTTGCTGAATATGCGATCATCATTCTTCTTTTGCAATCTCTGAGGGAAAGGTGGTGGTGGCCTTGGGGCCTCTGCTGGCTCTGGAATTTCAGCAGTCTTCTTTGGCTCGTTTGTCACTTTAGGGATCAACTCTCCGTCAGGTACATGCTTATCTTTCCTTTTTTTTAGCACTTCCTCAAGCTCTCTCCCATTTCTAAGTGTAACGGCATTCACTTGTGGATTCTTCTCTGTGTCACTAGGGAGAGCGCCTGCAGGTCTAGTGTTTTGATTAGTAGCTAACTGCCCCAGCTGCCTCTCAATATTTCTGAAGTCAGTCCTGAGCTACTGATTGTCAGTCCTGATCTGTTGATTGTCAATCAACAACCTTTTTAACAATTCGTTGGTGCTCTCTTCCATTTGTTGGGGTAGCTTTTAAGGCTGATTGAAACCCCCTTGGGGTCTATGCTGATTCTGATTCTGCCTATTTCCACCCCATGAGAAGTTGGGATGATTCCTCCAATTCGGATTGTAAGAATTCCCATATCGTGCATGCTGATTCGGTGGACCTCTGTTCTGTTGCCCCACATAATAGATGGATTCTGGATTTGTGGGGCACATGTCACTCATATGATTGTCACCACATAATTCACAGCAAATAGCCATTTGGTGTACATGTTGCATCGGTTTTGGTTGCTGCATTGTCATTCTAGTCATCCGATTGGCCAGCTTTGCAATATCGACTCTCATGGCTGAAACCTCGTCAAGTTCAAGTAACCCAGCTGATTTTTGCTTAATGTCCTTCCATGAATCACCCTCACCTTTCCAGTTATTATCATTAGTAGTGAAATTATTCAGCAAGATTTGGATTTCACTATATGGTCTGGCCATGCAACTACCCCCACAAGCTGAGTCTAGATTCATCTTTGAAGCATCATCTAACCCATCTACAAAAGTGTGACCCAATACCTCGTCTGTCTGACAATGATGAGGACAGTCTCTGAGCATTTTCTTGTACCTTTCCCATGCTTGACGAAATGTCTCGCCAGCTCGTTGTTCGAACCCAAGAATTTGACTCCTCAACACCTTTGTTTTCTTGGTGGGGAAAAACTTGATTAAGAATTTCCTCGCCAGATCATCCCAAGTGCAGATTGAATTTGCTGGCTCTTTATTCAACCACTCTTTAGATTTCCCAATCAGTTAAAAGGGGAAAAGTGTCAGCCTGACATAGTCCTTGGAAAAGTTCGGATAGGTGTAGGTATCTGTAATTTCCAAGAAATTCTGAATGTGCCTCTGCGGGTCTTCATGAGGTAAACCCACAAACAGCCCTGTGGATTGGATCAACTGCACCATGTATTGTTTCAGCTCAAAGTGCCCAGTTATGTCAGGCTTCACAATAGTCTGAGTCATATTAGCCAGATTGGGCCTTACGGCTTCAATCACCGCGCGTTCCTCATTACCTGCCATCTCAATTGGATGTGGTTGAACTACGATGACCAACTCTCTTTCAATTCAGGTTCTAGCGTCCACCTCCCTCCTCAATATGTAAAGTGTTCGTTCAATTTCGGGATCAAGAGGAAGGAGATTGTTTGCGCTTCTACTTCTTCGCATTCAATAGAAACTCTTGTATTAGCACAAACAAAGTGAACTGAAAGTTAAAACACGAATAAATAAATAATAAAAGCTCAATTCAGTCAAGTAGCTAATTTCTAAGTCCCGACAACGGCGCCAAAAACTTGTTGCGACCAAAAACACTCACGCGAGTGCACGTGATCGTCAAGTAATAGAGTAGTGGGTAGAGTGTCGTTCCCACGAAGACTTATGATTAACTGTTGACTAATTTAAACCCAATTTCTTTATCTACTCAAGAGATTGTTCACAAAAGAGAGATGTAATTGTTTTACTACTTAAACTATAAAGAATTAATCTAACTAAAGCAAGTAACCAAACGAATAGCAATTTCGAGTAACAAACAGTAGGAGAGAATATTCTAGAGTCACGGGCATAGTTAACAATCGTGTTGTGTTCTTGGCTTAAAATGACTAATCAATTTATCTGGGTTATTGATTGACAGGGTTGATATTACTCATAAGAATATGTCGAATTATTACTCGTCTATTCAAGTCAACTCAATGCCTATATGTCTATGGAATTAAGATTAACAAGAACGCATTTACAATTCCTGTATTTCAACCAAGCAAGGCAATTGGGTATATGTCTATCCCAATTGCGAATCCGTTCCCCGAGGCCCGGATTCAAGAACTTGCTCTATTTAATTCTATATGCAATCTAAAGTTCCCACTTTCGAGTTCAACTAAAGATTCGTAGATAGTATTTCACTGTTAGCTACTCAGCAAAATAATTGAAAACAGAATTAAATAAACAACCCAATATGATAAATCGACTTTGTCGAATTAAACTTCAAACAACAACATTCATGTTTTACCCATGACCCTAGAACAATGGGTCTTAGCCACTCATACCAGTGTTCATCACAAAATAGCCAAAACAAGAGAAGAAAAGAAGAATTTGATGGTCAAAACTCCCCCTTGCATCTTGCCTCTCTATTTCTTGCACTAAACTATGAAAACCTTTTTTTTAACCTTGGGCGAGCTTGACTTTATATAGGTTAAGTGGGTTTCTCTCCAGATTTCCAATTTTACCCCTAAATAACATTTTTCCGGACCGGACACGCGCGAGCTCGCGCATAACTTTGCGCGTTTCTTCGCGCATGATTCTGCCTTGGCCTTTCTTACGCGCGAACTCCTGCGCGGCTTCGCGCCTTTCTTCGCGCACCTGGAGATTGATTTCGTCCATTTTTTCGTCTCGTCCTTGCGCGCACTCAACTCCGAGGGGTTGTTCTTGCTCACAAATCATTCCAATATCCTCTTGAGAGCATCATATAGGCTTCTCATCCTGCAATGTATACATATCACAATTAGAGCTTATTTTTCATCAATTAACCATAATATGTCATTGGGATATAATCAAGCGGAAGCATAAACAATAGCTAAATCACCTAGATTTCACCTATTATCAATAATTCATTGACGAGGTCACATTAGTTCATAATTTTATCATTCTTCATGATCTTTTCCTTATGTTTTATATAGTTCGTTTGAATTCTGGATTTTTTCCAGTGGTCGAAGAATTTTCTCGTTTTTACATGTACTGTAAAATAGCTTCTTTTCCTACATAATATAATTGGGATCTTTACACCAAGTATCTTTATACACATAGTTGGTCAAATTCTCTTTTATAATTCCTAGCCAGTATACATGAATTATATACATTAGTTATATATAATTAAATACATATTATATATAGAGAGGG